GACTTGGGCACCATAAACAATTTTTGTGGGACAAACAGGGCATTTTGGCAGCTTTATCTTTCAGAATTACTATGACAATACTCAAGTCCAAAAGCTGTCACGGGTTGCCTCTGTTTATAGAACCCCTTTAGCTGGATGTGTCTTCCTAATGATTGGCAAATTATTCTTAGACTGGTTTAGTTTGAGAGGCAGTTATTAGATACTTTCCATATTATTTTTAAAAGAACCTAAATAGTGCTGAAAGTGGTGAGTAGGAGCTGTCAAGGAAACAACTTGTTAATGGAAGCGCAGCATAATTAACTGCTTTATTTAAATGACTCACTTTTGGAAAGAACTGATAAATAAGGGACAGCAGCAGCAGAGGGTCTTTGCAACTGTACTGACTGATCCAACATTCAATAAATTACTTTATTACAGAGAAATTAACTTTCAAACAGAAACAAGGATAATGGTCATTTGAAAGCTCATAAGGTCAGATTGACTACACACTTTATTAAACTTGGTCAGTTTTGTCTTTCTGTGCTTTTTGGCTAGCACTGATGTGCTAGCCAAAATGCAAATGCCAAATCCTTTCCTGTCATTTGTTGTCTCAAGAGCATGCAGCCATGTCACAGTCATCCTGGTTCTCCATGCAGCCACATCATGGTGATCACTGGAATAACAATGAATGAGTATGAATCTGGAACATCTAATAGCCCTTATAAGTTTGCCTTTAGGGCTTAGTTTTCTAAGCTGGAAGCTGGAATGAGCCTGCCATGCTAGATGTAGCACTCTGCAAAAATAATACTGCTGCACCAGCAGCTGGGCTCACGAGTGTGACAGTTCGAGATTTAGTTCTTGGTGGGATATTAGGGTCTACTAGTATTGTTTAAATGGCAGCAGTAGCCAAATACTGTACAGACATGGGAAGAGATACAGTCATTGCCCTGAGGAACACACAAACTACAAAGTAAAGGAAAATAAAGACAGCATGGAAGCAGATGTGTGACACTTAGATATGGATTAATTGTTTCATTGAATATGCTTCAATTTGCTGGATGGAAAATAATCTGTCTGTTAGACCTGCTGTTAGCTGGTTAATTCCAAGTGCCATGGCTAGGGTTATTAGGGAGTGAATTTTAAATGCAAGAAGTAGTAGCTATGGGATTCAGTTACAGAATCAGGAATCATGACTTAGGAAGTCTCTAGTCCAAGTTCCTGCTGAAAGCAGGGCCAGCTCTGAGTGCAGACTGGGTTGCTCACAGCTTAATCCAGTCTTGTTTGTAAACTTCCAAGGATGGAGATCTCGCAACCTCTTTGAGCAAACTGTTACATTCTTAGTTGCCTCATCATGGAATTATTTTTCTTATATCTGGTCTGAGTCTTCCCTTTTGGATTTTATAACCAGTGTCTGTTATTCATCCACCATGCTCATCTGTGCAGTACCTCGCACTGTCTGGAGCCACTAAAGGCACTGGAAGGCTGCTACTAGATCCCCCCAAAGTCCTCTCTTTTCCATGCTAAACAAACCCAGTTCAATCAGCCTCTCCTTGTCGGGCAGGTGCTTCAGACCTCAGCAATCTTTGCTGCCCTCTTTTGGAGTCACTCAAGTGCCAACTGAAGAGGGATAATCACAGTCTGGTTCCTGGCTGTGTTCTGTTCTTCACCCCAGAGTGCTGTAAGCCTTCAGTACCTGCAGGGCACAGCGCTATCTCAGCTACAAATTACTGTTCTCCTGGAGCCCTTTTCAGATCCTTTTCAGACCCTTTTCAGACAAACTTCCAACCAGTCAGTCACCAGTCTGTACCAACACACAGGTTAGTCCATCCAAGTACAGTACTTCACATTTATTGTCACTTAATTTCTTTTCAGTACATCCCACCAGTCTGTCTGGGTCCCTCTGAATAGCAGCTGTGCATCCAAGTATATTGGTCAACCATCTGTTTTGGTGTCATCTGCAGACTGATCAGTGGACATTCTTTCTCCTTCTCAGGACATTGATAAATAATATTGAAGAGGACATCTGAAATTAAACATTAAACACTAGTTCTCAAGCCTGATAATCCAGTCAGTTTTTCACTTTTCTAGTAGTCCACTTGTCTAACATCACAATTGGATAGAGGAATGCTCTGGGAGACTGAAACAAAAGCCTTGCTGAAATGCAGGTGACATCCACTTATCTCTTCCCACAAGACAGCAATCAGTTTGATTAGTTCATGCTCAATTAAATAACGTGTACTAAATTGCATGTCCTTTGACTAGAAATGTTTTCTAAGAAGAACATTCCATGATTTTCCCAGGGACCAAAGTGAGGGGCTAACTGGTTAACCACCCTGTAGTTTTGCAGGTAGTGTCACTTGTCCTTTCCGAAGATGGTGCCAAATTTGCCTATCTCCAGTCACCAGGGACCTCCTCTGCTCTCCCATCACCTTTCAAAGATGACAGAGAGTGGCCTCAAATTGACATCACTCAGCTCTCTCAACAACCTTTAGTGCAGCCCATGGAGGCCTGAAGGAGCAGGCTAGGTCAGGAAAAACATTTTGAATTCAGGGACATGGAGGAAAATTCTGAGATGTTACAGGCAGAATGGGAGCTTCAGACAAAGTTTATTAGAGAAGCCCTCCCTTCACGAACAGAAGCCACAAGGTACAGAAAGGACTCCCTTTCTAAATTCTTTCTGAGAGAGAAGCCGAGGTACAGCTGGACACAATCTTAGCCCCAGACTTAGTCTATGGTTTATATCTAAAGAGTTACACAGGTTTAATTGAGCTTTTGTACAACTTCATCCTGCAGAATTAAGGATGGCAAACCAGATATATTTATATAAATAAAATTAATTATTTATTTTAATTTATTACAATAATGATTGGGGGGAAAAAACTTATTCAGAATCATTTACTACACAGTATGGATAGCTATTACTACTGATTTAGTGCATTGTTTTTGAAGCAATTATATTAAAGCAATTATATTCAAGGTAGCAGAATAATTGTTAAGCAGAGATTGATGTTCCTTACCCACACCAACAACTGGGAAAATCTCTGCTGTTCAGCCTCAAGGAATAACCTTGAGGAGTGTCCCCACTGAAAGGAAGGATTTCACACACTTGAGGGAGGTAGGCTAGAAATCTTTGTTGTGCAAAGGTGACACTGGCCTTTTATAGTATAAAGTGATTGACTTTAATATGTGTTCAAAACAGGCATTTTTTAGATTATGTGTTCTCAGGCTCACTCAGCAAAATATGCTTCCTGCTGAAAAATGTGTTGGCAGCTTTTTAGTTTCTTCTCTTCGACTTCCAAATCAGTACCTGCACATCCTTGCTGCTCCCAGCCTGGGTCAGGGAGCCTCAGTCTTGCATGTCCTTGTGGTGGGGGGAGAGTTTGGTCAAGCTGGTCTCAGCATTCTTCAGCACTAAGAACAGCAGTGTTACCCTTGCTCAGTGTTATCACTCAGTTATCCTTGCTCAGTGTTTTCACTGATCAGCAGCCCGTCCTTGCTCCACTGAACAGCAAACTCTCCTTGCTCAGCCCTTCACTGGCAAACTTATCAGCCTGCTTAGGCTGAGGGCCCTGCTACAGATGTCTGTGAGAGAAGTGATCTAAGGTAAAATTGGGACATGGATGAATATTTCTTTTAGTCTTTGCTAGTGTGCCACTTTCATGTAATTGAGAATCTAATTTATTCTGGGGTTCTTATGTATTAAAGCTGCACCTCAGATTTCAGTTTTATTCTCAAGTGTGAAAGAGCAGAGTTCAAGCTGAATTCCTGTTGGTGAGTGATTCTAGGTATCACATCTTGCCAAAGCAGGATCCCATTGCCACCTCACAGTCTATGTGCATTCTGTCTGCCTTACTTCTATTACTAGGCCATCTCAGATTATTCAAATATTTACCCTTTATCCTTTTTAATGTAGGATTTGTCTTCACCCTCCCCCATCAATGAGTTGCATGTTTTGCTTCTGTTCTGTTGGTCTGTGAATTCATTGTTTGCAGGCTGGCAAGGCACCAGTTTTGGGGTGACAGATGGAGCAGACTGCAAACCAGGCAGTTGCCTCCTAGCCTGAATGATATTTTAATAAGCACAGAGAGGTGACAGAAATAGAAGCTTCTCACTGGAAAGACTGGCAGTTTTGTTTCCAGCCTGAAAGCACTAATAGATAATTTTTGGCCTCAGTCCAAAAAAAAAAAAATTAGCAGAAAATCCTATTAGCTTCTAACTTTTTTAAGGGTCAAAGAAGTTTTAATGTCTGTTCTGTTATCCATTTAGGGAGTTGTTTCCCCATTTTTGGTATTTCAGTTCTCTCTCAGAAACTGTACACTTTAGGAGACTTTCCTTTTACTTACCATTTTCTTTTCCTTCTTTTATTTTATTATTTCAACAATTTTCCCCATTGTCTTCCTTCCCTAAACATTCCTTCTTCTTCATATTTCTTTATACTTTTCACAAATTCATGTTGGGATATTGGGATTTACCAGCTTACTTGGCTTCCAGCTTCCACATCCTGTGAAACAACTACTGCACTGCAAGGCAATGGCATCTGCATGGGAATCTCTAGAGCATATGTCCTCTTCTCCCTGCCCTTCAGCTGTGTCTCAATTGTATAATACAGGGTTTGTGTAGGGCTTTGTTTCATCCATGGTCTTATGAATAAAAAAAGGCACAACAAAAGGGAGCTCTGGCAAATCCCCAGCAAGCTCTGAGATCCCTCTGAAGTATGAGCAACATGGTGTTTTGCAGACAAGCTGTAGGATAGTCAGGCTTTCAAAGGAGAAGATGCTTCTTCTTTCCATGAGTACAGGTTAAAAAAGATCCAGCTCTCACTAGGAAAATATGAAAGTGGTGCTGGGATCTGAACTACAGTGTGGTCCCATACACTGCTCAGAGAACACACTGGAAATTTCTCAATATTGGATATAGATCTTCATGTTTATTTAACAATATTCAGGTCTGGATTTCAACTTGTGTGTGAGCTGTAAATTAATGCTATTCCTGCTAAAATATGCTTTTTTTTTTTCTTCCAGATACAATGATGACACTGAACATTCAGATCATCTCTGGCCTCCTTTGCTGCATGACTTTTCTTCCTACAGATGGCTTCCCAGCAGACACCAGTACTGAATTTCGCTCTGCTTTCTCTGTGGCCAGAACCAGCAGCATGGAAGGGAGCTCTGAGATGGTGATTACCTTTGACAAAGTGTATGTGAATATTGGCAATGATTTTGACCCCAAGACTGGATTGTTCCGCTGCCGGATCCCGGGAGCCTACTACTTCTCCTTCACCGTTGGAAAATACCCCAAGAAAAACTTGTCTGTCATGCTGATGAGAAACAAGAATGAGGTGCAGGTAATTGTGTATGACGAACATCACCGCAAGGAACGCAAGGTGGCCAGCCAGAGTGCCATGCTGCAGCTTGACTACGGGGACACAGTGTGGCTGCGTTTACATGGAGATCCCAAGTACGCTCTTTACAGCAATGTGGGGCCCTATACAACTTTCAATGGCTATCTGATCTATCCAGACACTTCTGCATTCTTCCAGAATGCTCTGGACTCTCAAGAGCTCGGGCCACACCCTCACGCAATTCAGCAACTTCCCAGAGAGCAGAATGAAGCTTCACAGCGACGCGTGTTGTCTGACCAGCCAAAGAGGGTACAAGACCCTCGCTCTGCATTTTCTGTTGCCCGCTCACAAAGTCTCTTGGGGACAGATGAGAAGCAAACCCAGCACGAGCCAATCACATTTGATACAGAGTTCGTGAATATTGGAAAAGATTTCAATTCCTCCACTGGCATCTTCACGTGCCGTATACCTGGTGCATACTATTTCTCCTTCACCATTGGCAAAATGCCCTTTAAGACTATGTCAGTGAAACTGATGAAGAACCACAATGAGGTGCAGGCCATGATCTATGATGACAACCACTCCAAGCGGCGGGAGATGCAGAGCCAGAGCATCATGCTGCCTCTGCAATATGGGGACACCGTTTGGCTCTACAGCCATCAGCATGATGGCTATGGTGCCTACAGCAACCACGGCAAGTACATCACCTTCACAGGCTTCCTCATCTATTCAGAGGCTCAGCCAAAGTGGCTGCCAGGTGCCAGCTCACCTCAAGGGTCAAACAATTAATTGCAGCTGTGAAAGGAACATAAGAAGAGCCAAGGTGCCATGAACTTGGGTACAGCTTCTCTGAATATCATCCTCTACTTTGAGCATGCTGTCATGTGTCCAGTGCTTTCCTTAGCTGCACGCTTGTGCCCTGTCTCCAGGGCCGCTGCTGTGTGTGCCATTCATCCGTAGAGAGGCCTTTCAGGTTGTAGCTGTGTGTCCCGTGTTGGTGTTTGATTTAACATAAAGCATGAGGTAGTTTTGGGGCAGGGGTGGGGCACTGTAGTGAGATGCTGAGGATCAGAGAGCTACTGCAGTCATGTTACTGCAGATCTCCAGCATCCAGAAACAAAAGGGTATGGTGTCTTTCCTTGTTTATCCAGGGAGGGAATAAATGTAATGGAAATGAATGTAATAAAAATACAAAATATGAGAATGGTCTCCGTTTGGAATTTTTGCTACTTTGTGAGACTTGTGTGCTTGTCACGGGCTGAGGTACCAGCCAGTACTGAGCTCAGGTGAGAGAGATGCATGGTAATTGTGCGAGCTGAGGATGTGTTACTGAGCCAGTCTGTGTACACTCTAATCATTTGTGTGTGTGAAAGGTTGGTACCTCTTATGATTTTATTGCAAGTTTCACAGTGGTTTGTGCTTTTCTTTATCTGATGTAGATGAAGTCAAGAAGCTGTGATTGAGAATCTCAGCTTCCATTTAATGTAAAGAACACATTTAGAAACAAACAAAACCGCAGGCTTCTTGTAGTGAAAGATAAGGGCTCAAATCTGTGAATGGACCATGCTCTGAAAGCCCAGAAGCAAGGTAAGTAAGAAGAATAAGAAATGTGTTTTTAAATCTCTAAAGATTTGGATCAGGAGCAGGCTCATAGCACCAAGCGCGAGTAGCAGCGCGGCAGCAGTGGCGCTGCTGACCGCAGGGGCGTTCCCTTGCCCAGAAAGGGGCCCCTCGAACACGAGAGTGCTGCCGGCCCACCACGTGCTGCACCGACAGCCTCCTGCAGGCGGGCTCAGGGGAGCGGCGGGTGATGTTTCCAGCATCCATGTTCCAGTGGTTTCGTACGTGCCGAGTTCCACCGAGAGTTTTCCCTGTGGAGAGGCTGCTGTGGTTGTAGAGGACGCTGCTGTGTTCGTACAGTCCGACAAATAGACGGGCGCCCGGCGGGATCCGGGATCCGCTGAGCAGGTAGTGGGAGCACAGGAGGCTTCATCGTAGCACCACTGGTGCTGTTTCACTTGAGCTAAACCCTGGTTTGTATCCCAAAAATACATAAACTGCAAAAGTGCATCATCTTAAGCATGTACAAAGCTTCATGGCATCACTTCAGTATGCTTTATAATCCGTTCAACAGGCAGCAATGCTCTAAAACTGCTCCTAACAAAATCCTGAGTTCAAAGCAGTGTGTTGGCATCCAAGTCACAAGCCAACCCACTCAGCCTTTTCCCATATATTCGTATGGCTCAGGCTGTACATTCTCCAGCAAGACAGTATTTTAATGCACTAGTGCCATCTCAGCTCAGCTTTTTGATCATACACTGGACTTGAATGCAGCCACTCACTGCCTCTGTCACTCCATACATATCCTACACATTAAAGACTGGGGGTATATTTGGCAAAAGGGTGAAGAGTAAAGATTGGAAGTATGTAAAAAAACAGCATAAGAACCAGCAATAGAACATTAGATGAGACAAGAAGTTTTACTTAAAATAAAATTCTAATTTTAATTCCTATATCCTTTGGGGTGAAAAACAAACAAAGAAACAAACAAAAAGAACCCCAAACCAAAATAAAACAAACACACAAAACAAAAATCCAGCAACAAACAACCTGCTTTAAATGTATCTCCTTCTGTCATAATCCTAAACTGATCTCTAAAACCATTGTCTGTAGCATCTTGCTTCCAGGCTTCTTGTTCCTGCCTTACTATTTCTTCTCTCCATCTGTTGGGCTACAATGGCTTGGAATAAGATTAACTAGGTCAGAAGCTGCAGTTCCCACTTTGAAGGTCGTACATGCCTCTTTTGTCGAACATGGAAAAATTATATTGATAGAAAGGAAATTATGGATCCCATCCCATTAAGCACATGCAATGAACGTTCAAAATTGATGTTCCTATAGTGGTAGCAGGAAATCCGGTAGAAACAAGAACCAAAATCAAAACCCTCCTGAGGAGATAATTATATTTATTTCATTCCACATCGCAGTGTTTAAGACAGACAAATGTTAATGATGTCTTTCTGTAAAATAATTATATTTCTGATTTTGAGAATAGAGACTATGTATTTATTATGTTTGGCTTGTAAAATGCCATGTCTGTACAAAAAAAAAAAAAAAAAAAAAAAAAACGAACTTTATAGAAGAGAGGCAAAATCTGCTGAAGAAATAACTAGGTCAGGATCCTTCAGAATTTAAATGAGATTTCAGGAAGTATATTCCAAAATGATAACTGAAACAAAGCTGTGTATATGTGTAAATATGATATGCAAATATGAGAAAGCTTTGTGGAATACATACATTTTCAGGTTGCTTTTTAAAGAAAAATGAATATATGAGATGGGAAATTGCTGTTGACACATAAAATATGATGCCACATGAGGAGAAAAATTAAATTAAATATGTGACCTATATCATGGAACACAACAAAACCTGCTTAGCTGCTACTGGAGAGAAGATCTTGTATTTGTCTGAAACCACGGGGACAATATAAGGAAAGTGAACTGAATTATCTGAAATGAAGTCAGCTGTGACACCAGCATAATATCCTGGAAAAATACTTCCAAACCATCTCTCCAGAGCATCAGTGATCAAGATAGATAAGACATCTAAATAGCACTGCCCCCTTCAGCACAGCCCACTTAGGAAAAAATCAGAAAAGAGAGAAATGCACTTTACAGTTTTGTGTTTTTTCATTTAAAAATAAAAGCTTGTGCATAAATCCTGAGAGGGTTACCAGCACAGTGCAGAAAGCAGGACAAAAAGGTGTGGCATATTTATTTGAAGTCCTGCATACTGTGGAAAGCATTGAAAATAACCAAGAAGGCAGCTGGAGCCAGGTGTGCCCTTTCCTACGGTGGGTTCCCTCATTAGGTGTCTCTCTTGGTCCTGGCCAGGTTAGAGCGATAGAAATGTTTCAGGGATGCTAAATGTGAAGGCTTCTCCTTCCAAGGCCAGGAAGCCTGGAGGAGAGTGGTATTCGCAGGGCAGAGCCCCTTGCACAGGTCACGAAAGATTTCATCAACCAGCTGAGAGAAAAAGCCAATCCAAGGGGTTTTATCCAGACCCTGCGTGGAGCGAACCTGATAGGCACTGTAAACACTGGTGAAAAGGAGACGGTCAAACTCTGTCGGAGGCAAGGGAGTGTCAGTCAGTGAATAATATCTCAGATGCTGCTCAATCTCTGCCGGTGTTTTGGGGACTTCCTCCTCTAAAATCTGCAGGAAGCGCCGTGCCGGGCGTAGGGAGGCCAGCTCTTCATCCCGCAGACGGATTGACCCGTTGGCCTGAATATCCAGCCTTCCCCAGAGCATCTGGAAGAGAGGAGCAGCGCTGTCACGGAAAGCCCAGCACAACCCCATCCCTCACAGAGGCGCTGCGAGCAAAGCCCGCCGCGGCGCGGCCGAACAGCCCTCGGGCGGGCCCAGAGGCGGCCGCTCCCTCACGGCCGGCCTAGTCCCGCTCCGTGTCCCTCTCTGCCAGCCCCACACCTCGCTTCCCCGTGGGACCCGTGCAGTTCTCGCCTCCCGCCCTGCTGTCCCCCCGCAGTCCCGCCTGCAGCAGCTCCCCGGTGCGGCCGCCTCGGCCGTCACCAAGCCCAGCGGCGATGGGCCCTTGTCCCTCCGCGGACACCCCGTGAGGTGCCACGGCGTGGGGCACAGCCGCCTTGGGCTGCACCCCGCCCTGGGAGGGAGCACAAATGCTATTAGGCATCGCCGAGGCATTCTCCAGGGGCTCCTGAAATCCGTCAGGGATGAGAACAAACAGAACGGGTGAGTTTTTACGTGCGGGCAGGTGGGAGCATGGGCCCTGACAGTGCCTCGGCCCAGGGCCCCCAGTGCTCAGGAGACCTCTAACATGATGCCAGCGTCCTCTGGGCCACGACGGGCTCTGTTGGTGCCGCTGTGAGGATGTTCATCTGGAAGACATCAGACAGAGCTTGGTAGCACAAGACCTTCCTGTTTACTGTTTTTGCCGTTTGATTGTCAATAACATCTTCAGCATTCCTGAGCTACCACTCAGCTTGCCAAATATGACAGATGCTGACCACGGGATTTTGATAAGCAAAACAAGCTTTTTAAGAGAAGCAGCAGTGGTTGAGGCGAGGTTTTGGATATCACAGCCTTTAGTGCTGCCAGGAGAGCTAAAGCATGTATGCTTTATGCAGCAAAGGCACTGCTTTGACAGGCAGCAAGGAAGCCTCTCACACCGAGAATGGATGGGGTTTGGGCTGATGGGTTTGGTTGGTTAGCAGTTTTTGCTGGAGAAAGTAATGCTGCCCAATGAAAGGAGCATGCTGGCAGGCTCCTCAAGCTGCTGCTAGAAATATAAACTGATGCTTATTCTAGTTTTCTACTTCTTCCCTAAGCTTCTGCTGCTGGAAGAGTGTGAGGATAAAAGAAACCTTGTCAGATCCATTATGGCTGACTTGATGTCCAGCTAATTACTTGCTGGGATGCATGACATCATGTAACCTGGGAAAAATGGATGTGAGGTCAGAGGAATGGCAGTTTTTTAATATGAAGGTCACATTAATCCTAAGAATTGTTTGATTTTCATTTCCTGATGCTTACAGTGCTTTAACTGTCTGCATTTATTTTATTTCTTTTTGTTTGTGTATGAAAAAGGAGACACAAGCAGTCTTGGTCGAGGACTGTGGGGGAGAGGCTGCATCCCTTCCCTCCTCTGTGTTATCAGTGTCATGAGGTAGCCAAGACTCTCTTCTACTTCTTACAGACTCATCCTTCAGGTTAAGAAACATGAAATGGAAAAAGCTCATATAAAATAGTAAGCTCTCTGATATATTTATGGGTTTTTTTAATTTTTAAATGGATGAAGGCTTTTTAATATATATATTTTTTTTTTAAAAAGAGTGAGTATTTACATTAAATACCCCAGAGTTAAAGTCAGCAGGTGCATATAAAAAGTAGAAAAATTGTTTATTACTATACATGTGTGATGACTGCTACCAAAAGATACTTCCAAATCTCCATTTTTGATTAGACCTTTTCAAGGAGATGCACGAGCTGCTTGGAAAAGTGCACTGCCAGCCAGCAGGCTGCAGAGGTTTGTTTCTCTGCACAGCTGCAGGCTCTGTGATCCAAACCAGATGTGGCTTTGGAATGTGAGCAGGGATGTAGCTTCTTTTTCCTACTCCTCCACAGATGTACCAGCAAGGCTTTTAGCTCAGGTGAAAGCATTAT